TGAATTGATGTTAATAACTGTAATATAATCTTTCCTTTTGCTCCACAGTTACAGCGGAAGATATGATGAAGTTATATGCTGCAGCTGCTCGACATAGAGAGAGACTGAAGAAGGATCAGGAGTTTGTTTGAACAAATATGTATATCTGTCTCACATGAGATAACTAAGACTGCATTTTATTGTGACATGTTTTATGTAATCTACATCTTTCCTTGTATATATGTACTGCATTATCTGTAACTGAAATAAACTTGAACACTTTTATACACGATGAACTGAGGGCATCTCTTTAGAACATCCTTCATAATACAGTAACTATAATTTTGATCAATGAGAAGGCTGTTTTTTTTTTTTGTTTTTTTTGTTAATTAATTTATATATGGGCAAGTATGCTGAACAGAAAAGCAAACAACACAGCATTTCTAGTCTAAGTTAATTATGAGGCCTGTCCCGAATGAGCTTGTGTGTTTTTTTTTTGTTGAAGGGTTACTCTCAGGCTTTTTGTGCATTTTATTGGAGAGAGGACAGTGGCTAGAGTTTGAAAAATCCAAGAGAGAGATTGGGTAATGACAGGCGGGAAAGAAGCCACAGGTCAAACTTGAACCCGGGCTGCCCACCTGGAAGACCAGTCTTCGCACATGGGGCATGCACACCAACTACCAGGCCACCGTAGTCCCCTGGGATGAGCTTTTAAAATACATTTATAAAAAATAATGATGTAAAAATTACAATACAAAACCCCAAGAAAACAGGATACATCTGGTTAGTCACATGTTTTTTTTTTGTATAAAGTAGTTTTTAAATAATCACATCTGGGCTTTACAGTTTATAAAACTTGTCATGTGTTGTAGATCTGTCAGCAGATGGCGACACTTCAAAGACTTAATCAAAGGACAAGTTCCTCTCAGATTGGGCCACATTGAAGGTGTGACACAAACTTCCTTTTTCATACTTAAAGAGGAAGATTTTCGACGTTTCACTTTAAATACTTGAGTTTTCTCTTTATTTGGTCCTGAAATTGAAATTCCAGTCCAGCCTTTCTGGACTGACTTGTTATCAGATCTATTTATTAAAACAAGAAGCCCCAGAGGCTGAAGAGAAGCAGACCTCTGCAGCAGACAATCTGGCAACAATTATCCCTGCCGGACGTGACCTTGAGCTGCGGTCATCACTTTGTCTTGGCTGTGGCTCGTCACTGATGACGAGCGGTGTCAGGGTCAGGTATTGTGCGCCGTGAGTAATTGTTCTTGGTGGAAGAAGTCCTCCGCACTGCTCTGTAGAAAATCAATCACATGACATGGTCTTATAGATATTAGCTTGGATGAGTGCATTTCCCGGAGCTTATTGCAAATGCGCCTAGGAGCTGTTGAGTCACATCCCCTGCTCAGCGGGCCAGTTGTGGCTCCACTCTTTGGGGAGCTCTGCAGTTGGTGTCCGGGGGCAGCGCTTGATTTCTGGCTCAGTGAACAGACAGCTGCTGGCAAGCCGGGTGTCGGGGGCTGTCTGCACCATTCTTGATGAGACTTTAAGAAAGTCAAAGCTGGACATACACGCTTGAAATAGTTCTGAAGAAGTTAAAAGTTTATTCTTATAAAAAAGAAAAAATAGAGCTGGAATGATTAATCTGCAACTACTTAAAAAATATATATATATATGTATATATAGCCTAACTAATGGTAAAAGACATTAATGGAGAGGAAAATCTCAAATGTTAGCTTATCCTAAAAAAAAAAATGTTTTTAAACATTAAAAGATGATTCAAAGTTTAATTCTCAAAGGCATCTGGAGTTGGTTGAAGTGTTGGAAGAGGCAAAACATCTGTAAAAAAAAAAAAAAAATTCAACCAGGGCTAGATGTCTTATGGATTAAACTTGAACTGCACGATTGAGAACAATAGAACAATATGTTACCTTTTGGCTGTGAGATTATTTTTATTTTTATTTTTATTCTTTTTTTGTTGCACAATTATTTCCTTTATAATGAAGTAATCATTTGGTCATCAATAAAGTACAATGGGTATTTTTAAAGGGGTCTTTATTTCTCTTGCACCAATTGAAAATACAAATCAAAATGTAGACAATGATCTTTGACCCCCAGATTTCCATGAAGCCTAAAAGCAACTTTTCTTTTTTGAGTAGGTGGAAGCAACATGTTAGTGAGCATATCACTTTAAATACACTTTAGATTCATTAATGCTTAATGACCCTTCTAAGTGTTATCATGGACACAAATATATGAACAGGTACAGAAATTAAAACAACTTGGCCCTTGAGTTGTCAGATCTAATCTACAGTCTTGACCAGTGTCAGGTGGAGCGTCCTTTCTTCCATAAAAGTTCTCGATGCCATCTGAGATGAGTTTGTCTTTGTTAGAAGAGTAACACTGTTAGGAGTTAAAAGTCAAAGTGATGCACAGATATCGAAAGCTGTCTTTGACCTACAAATGGCTCTTTATTATCCAGCTGTTTCCAGACACTTCCTCTGATCCGTCATTGCATCAGACCTTTCTTTCGTACAATTTTCATTTAGAAGGAAGGGATTGTAATGCATTACACGTAGGAAAAGATTGTTGTCCAAAACAATACATGAATCATCAAGAATTTCATCATTTTTATGTCACTTATTGCCTCCAGTCTTAGCAAACAGTCTCAGTGATATATGCGGGCCTTCCATGTCTTTCTTCCTCTCCCAATTCTTTTTTTTTAAAGACAAGTCCAGATATAGCACGTTACAGAATATGTTCAAGCATGACTTGCACTTATTAAATAGGAGGATGCTCTCTCCCGTTCTATAAAATGAAGATGTTGGGTTGATCTGTCTTCAAAAACAAGAGCTGTCCAGACTTTCATTGCATCTGAGGGTCACTGTTCTCTCCCCCAAACCCTCCACCCACCTCTCCTTCTCTCCGGCATGCTCCATGTGTGGCTGGGTGTCTGCAGCGCGGAGAAAGGGGGCCACATAATCACCCACAGCGCTGCAGACAGGACCAACTGCAGCCGGCCAGCGGGAGCACGTGGCTTTGTCTTTCACCCATTCTTTCGGGGACCAGCTGTGGTCTGAGTGTGGCGAGCGGCGGTGGGCCCAGTGATGCTGCTGCTATAAATATGCGTCAACGAGTGTGAGTAAGTGACAGCTGTACAGTGGATCAAGGACACAGTGTCTTGGCACTGTCAGGGCGAGCCACTCCAAAAAAGGCAAACCCAGTGTGAGGGCACTAGTTGATATGTATTTATGCACTTGTGGCAGTATGCATGTTGTGTACACAGTTCAGATTGAGGCATTAAATGTTGCTTTTTAAATGTTTGTAGCACTCCACGTTGGCAGTAATACTCACTTATTAAGATTGTTTAAATCCAGACTTTTATATTCTTAATTAGAACTACCTTTTTTTTTTTTTTTTTTTACTCTCGGGAACAATGTTGTTTGGATTTCCTGAAAGTCAAAACAATGGCTCCTCCACAATTAAGTGGATGATAACCATATGCAGGTGAGAGAGAGAAAAAGAAATCTGCCCGTGTTGGTGTGTGTGTGTGTGTGTGTGTGTGTGTGTGTGTGTGTGTGTGTGTGTGTGTGTGCATTGTCTGTACACAAGTGCATGTGTGACTGTGTTTGTGTGCCCTTTTCAAGTGTGACCACCTGTCTTTTGTTAAGAAATAAATAAATAAACAGAGGCCACACCAGCTGTCCCTGGCAGTCCGTCCCTTCAGAGGTCAAGGGCTCCCACCGCTGGCCTTGTTGAGCTGGTGGACACTTACAACTTTCCTCTCAACTTCTCTCAAGTACCTCTAAACCACACACACACACAAACGCACATACACGCAGCCCTTGTCTATATGTTGTTCCCAGAATGAGTGAGCTGGGACTGGGGGAGGGTTGGTGGGAACCTGAGTATATCCCCATTGGGATCACGTAGCAGAGCAGCTGGATTTCTTTCATGGTGCAGCCGGGGAATAATTAAAAGTTCTCGCCATTGAAACTGTCCACTGAATTGGCATGACACACATTTGGGTGTGTGTGTGTGTGTGTGTGTGTGTGTGTGTGTGTGTGTGTGTGTGTGTGTGTGTGTGTGTGTGTGTGTGTGTGTGTGTGTTGTGTTTGCACTGACAAATACATGTGTGTTTTGGCTCAGTTTGAGTAATAAACACATTCGGTCAACTGCCTTTGTTGTCCCAGGTTTATCTCCTGTGCAGAGTAATGGCAACAGGTCAGAAACAATGGAGACAATCATGAAGCTGCTGCGTCCTTGAGCTCAGTTTACGGTTTCAGAGGGAGAAGGCCTGTTAGACCTGCAGTTTTATCACTTGCTGTTGTCGGTGTACACATTACAGTTCTTCACACCAACACACACTGATTGTTGCTGCTGTGAGTCAGAGAAGGGCTGTTCTTAAACTATAGCATACCAGAGTTTAACTTTTTTTTGTTTTTACGTATGACTGTAAATTGAAGCTTTAGGTCTTTAAAAGTGATTCACACAGATCAGCCATAAAATGATGACCACCTACACAATCTAATGCAATCAATCCTACTTTTAGAAATGTCTATATTCTCATGTTTTTGTTGACATGGTCAGAAAGCTGATAATTCTCCCTCATATGGTCATAGTGGGTGGTGTACTGTGGTTCATTCTTAAGAAAAAGGGGTTCCAAATATGTCTGTGTAGATTCTTAGTCATCCAGGTCATGGTCAATTCGAAGCTTGATCCAAAGTCAATTGGGCTTCATCCAGTCCAGATCAAGCCTCGAAGTGTTCCAAATAGTTTTCTCCCCTCATGTATGTAAACGGAGAGGGCAAGTATTAGGAACACTTTTCAATATCATTTACTCCAGTATACCACCACCACCCACCGTTTGAACATGGCAGCTAAAAAGTAAAAATGTAAAGCTTTGTAAAAGTAGATTCTATTGGTGGAGCTGTTGTGTTGGATTGCTTAATTTGCATAACATTATGGCTGATCGATGATTATGAAACCCAGTGAAGAATAAATGAAGTCCACACAATGCATGAAAGTTGTTCCATTTTAATTCTATGCATAATCTTAAGAAAGACCTAAATCAAGATTGTCACATTTCCACAGCACACACACACACACACACACACGCACACGCACACACACATAGGCACACTCCAGAAGCGCAAAACAAAGAAAATGCACATACATTTATAGATCAAATGAAATCGCCTCCATATCTAAGCAATGTCAATTCTGCATAAGGATTGTCCTCTAATCTCTACCCCCTAACACTGAAGTAATTCATTACTATAAAATATACATTTCTTATTTTAAAAAATTATATTAAATTCTAATGGCACTTCTACAAGTTCTATTAAAAAGAGTTTCCGTTTGACATTGAGAAGCTTTTTTTTAATCCAAATTAAAACTGAGAAAGTCAAATGTTGCACAAGTAGCAAATGCAATAATAAATATTTCTCATGATTATACACAATTTCACAGTTGCAACCTGCAGAGGACAAAGTTCCAGTATCAGTGAAGTCCTTTTTTAAACGTCATACAGCATGAGTCAGGCAAACATAGCCCTCCATCAAGAGTAGCACTGTTTCCATTCAACAATCAAACATCTCAGTGTTTCACATTCAACAGTGACATTAACTAAAGGAGCTGACTTGTTAGTTCCCAGTAGTATTGACTTCTAAAAAGCCAAATCAGAAGAAGAAAAAAAACGCTTGTCTTCAGTTGAACACAGCCATTAAAAAGAAACGTATTCACAGAAACAAAAAAAAGTCAAATCAATCTCAAAATGTGAAAGTAATCTCTCGCAAAGCAGCAGAAATGAACAGACTTTTAGTTTGTCTTGATGTATATTTTGAAATGATAGAAAAGAAAAAAATCAGTGGGCGACCACTGCTGCTATGATTTGAAGGTTACCACTGCAGATTAGGGCAAAAATGTACAATATAGAAAAAGGGTTTCTCCAGATGCAACACTTATCTGTGTGTCTACAAGGCACATTTGGTTATCATCCTGGAGGTATAAATAAAGACTTCAAACAATAAAAAGGAAAAAAAAAAAAAAAAGAATCACATTTTTGTTAGTTTTTTCTACCTCTGTACACATGTACATTAGAAAACCAAACAGTTCATTTTGCACCACGATACAAATGTTCCTTAAAAAAATGAAATAGTGACAAAATCTACATTCCAGTGTGTTCTGATTCAAATATACAATATTAACAGGTCTACATCAGAAATATACCTATTTGATCTGACGACTAACAGAAGTGATTAAACTTGTGAACAACGGGAGTGTTTGTGCAAGTAATCAGGCAGCCAATTTCAAATTTGCACGAGCTGCATTCACTCGAGCCAGAGGAGAGTGAAAACAGATCCCAGTTTTTCCAGAGGGAAATGGTTCGATTCCTTCTCCACTAAGGCTTCTTGATCAAGAACATTCTAAAATACATAAATGCAAATTGAGACATGAATTGATTCATGTGTCCTGAAAGAGTAAATACACCTCAGCGTGTCTATGTTGAAATGGACAGGTAAATCTGACCTCTTCTCCACAGTTTACAGGCATGTTATTATCAGTCTCGCGTGGAAAAACAATACTCCAATAACTGTGATATTCTCTTGATAGATGTGCAATCAAATCAACGTGGCAGCTCCTCCATGTAGAGGAACAATGGAGTGTTTATCTACTACATGCTGGGATATGGAGGGAGGGGAGTCTGTTCTTTGAAGCCTCCAAACAATACACCTGTTTACAGTGTCCTTGTTCTCCTTTTTTTTTTTGCAAAATACATTTCTCACATTCCAACGGCTCGATTCAATACAGAAAAAGTGCAAAGAGAAAAAAAAAACCGGTGCTGCCTTTTCTCCCTGCAGCTCGGAGGGAGACACACAATGATCCCTTGAGAACTACCTGGGACTGGTGGGGGCGGGGGCTGGGGGGGGGACACACTCACAATGCCTGTATTGTCTGGTTTCTATAGGTAGCCGGCGCTGTATCAGTGAGGCTGCGCCTGTGAACAACTGTCTCCTGTGGGAGAACAGCGGTCACAGCGGTGTTAAATGTTCTGATTTGTTCTGGGTCTGATCGAGTTGTCTTCAACATGAAAAAGGGAACCAAACTTCCTGTGAAGGATGCGACACTTTTAAGAGACTGCAGCGATAATAAGACACCTGACTCACGTTGACACGGGGAAAAAAATGAACAGTTTGATAAATAGATTATATATTTACATTAAATATACATACAGTAAGAAATAGCAGCCTAGACAATAGTGTTTAAACTATATGCATGCTAAAAAAAACCAAAAAAAAACAAGTGCTTCTCTATGATCCATGTGACAAATCTTGAACCCTCCGTAGAGATCTCTACACTGTACATTAAAATGCGATTACAGTAACTCGATTTGCACAGAGAAAATGAGCCCCAATACCAGTTAATGAGTACCAAGATCGCTAGGCAAGACGTGAGGTCTTTCAAGCTTATACAAATAAAGACTACACCTACTGTAAAAACCTGAACCAAGTCAAACTAATAAATAAATCTGATCAAGTCTTCTCAGGACAGATGAGACAAAAACATCAGGAACTCCAAACGCTACGCCCTTGTTTAAGAATAAATGTAGCATCCATGTGTAGACAGACACAACAAAATCCACTGGATGCCGAAAGATTCTTGCAAAGAGAGCGTCGCCTAAGGCCCCAGCTTCATCAGCAGTAAAACATACAGTAAGAAGATATAATGTGGAGTTAATTCAAAGAAAAGGAAGGTCAGTGGGTTTATCTGAATGGCACGAGGAGCACAGCTAAATGAACAAACAGCGCTATTTATCCACCTGTATTTTCCGTCCTTGCCTGCTGAGGATCTGCCCTAAACACTGCGTCAGTGTGCCCTCGAAATCATTCCATGTGTTAACGAGGTCATTTACTGACAAAGATGAACATTTAACTCAAACAAGTCAATAATAAGCTTTATTGACAAGAGTTTGGTTCGCAATTTGATCACATTCTTGAAACGTATTTAAGGCCACTCACTCCAGAATAAACAACTACCTTTGTTACATCCTGATATGTGGAGGGTTTTCCAGTTTTTTTTTATTAAGTAAGGCCTGAAAACGTACTGATTTTGACCAGAAGGCAAGTCTGTACATCTCATTCTTGTTTAAGTAAATGAAGTGTTTTCAGTAGGCACCAGCATAACAGGCATTAGCTCTTAACCACTCTCCAGCCCTCCTCTGATTAGACAACTTCTTTTAAAGTAGCAATTACAAGGCCATTCTGTCAACATGTGCTCGCTTACATTAGCAACTGAAGAGCCTAGCAACACACCCCAAGGCGAGACGAAATGTGGTGATGTGATGGTCTGCTTGTCCTCTTTTATAAACAACTTAGAACTTCATTTCAACCAAATAAAACTTCTACTTCCATAAAGAAAAAAAAAAAAGAAGATACTTCCAGTAGTCAAACTTCATTAGTTTTACTGCCTCGTGACAGTTTACTTGTTAAGGACTAAACAAAATCTCCAAAATAAATAATAATATTAATAACAATAATAATAATAATAATATAGGAGATTAAAAAAAAAAAATCATATATTGCTACTTGCGGACGGTTCTGATCTCCCATGTGCACAAATTAAAGTCTCACTCAGTCTGAAGATTGTATTAACATATTTTAGCATTAGCTCTCAGCATTTTGCCCCCATAAGGTTTGAACATAGCATTTTTTTTTTTCTTTTCTTTCAGCAGATACACTCCTCAAATAAACTCCGACAGGTTGACACGAATAGACAGAAACAAACAAGTGCATCGTCTGATTTGTTCATCTTCGTCCACACAGATCCAGCATGAGTTTCACAGCGGCCATGTTTATCCAAACAACCTGTGGCCACTTGTGCGCACAGAAAACGGCTCCAGTTTGTACAGTTGCTACATTTTTTTTTTAAACTTGACAAATGCCACATCGGGTAGAATCCAAATGATATGTCTCCAACAAACTGAAAAATGTGTGTATTCATAAGGAAACTGTTCAGTAGTAGAATTCAGTGTATGAAAAGACATTCTGTCTTATGTTGTGGCACTGGTGAGAGGTGTTTTTATTTATCCAATGGCGAGAGTCTTGACAAGGCCACAGTGAAACTTCCTGATGTGGCGGTATAGGTCCCCGGATTGGGTGAAGCGCCTTTCGCACCACTTACAAGCGTGAGGCTTCTCACGTGTGTGGACCACAGCGTGCCGACTCAAGTTATGGGAGTACTGGAAGCTCTTGCCACACTGGCCACAGGTGTATGGCTTCTCGCCAGAGTGTGTGCGCTCGTGGCGTTTCAGCGTGTACATGCAGGAGAAGGTCTTGTTGCACTGCATGCACGTTGGGACTGAGCCGTCTGGGGACAGCTTGGAGCGTGCGCCGTCCTTCTCGCGGAAGTGGGAGCTGAGGTGCAGTTGCAGCACGTGGGGGCTGGGGAAGACTTTGCTGCAGAGGGGACACACACACACCTGTTGGCCCGGGGGCAGGAGCACCCCGCTGGAGGTCGAGATGTCTGAGGAGGCCAAGTCATCCTCTTCCTCCTCTTCGCTGTCCCCCAGCAGCCTCCCCCTCCTCTCCTCTAGCTCCCTGCCCGGGGCGCCCTCCCTCCCCCTGCAGGCCTCCCCCTCCTCGTCCATCAGGTCCTCCTCCTGGGAGAGCAGGGCGGCTGTGGAGCCGTTGTTGCCTGGGAAGAGGGCAGCGAACCCTGTCACCACCGAGCTCCTGGCACTATTCCCAAAGCGCTGGCTCTCAGGGCTCATCGGCTCACTGTCCTCCTGCTCTGACAGCAAGTCGTGTTCGTCTTTAACAAGTGGCTCAGTGCCCTGCTGCTGGCTGTCGAGGGCCAGCTGTCCCGAGACATAGGAGGGGTGTAAGGGATCTCTACTAGACAGAGGCTTGAAAGACAAATCCAGTGCACAGTCCATGTCATCTGAAGCCCGGGACCTCTGGGACAGTGATACGGTGGAACTACTGACATCAGCTTTTGTTTTTCCAGCTGTTTGGACGCAGGGCTCGGCCTCCGCTGACACATAATTGACACCTACAAGGTCCGGGGACCTGCCAGAGTGACCGTTTGCCTTCTGCCTGCTCTGTGTAGACCTATCACAATCTGTGACAGCCCGCCTGACTTCGCTGTTGTCCGTGTCAAATTCTTCTGCCAGGGGGGGCCGATGAAGCCCATGAGACTGTGTCTGGGGCTGTCGCCGGATGAGCTGCTTACTGTGCAGCTCGCCATCTGAGGAGTTTTCCCTGTCCAGACAGCTGAGACCCAAACCCTCGCTCATCTTTTCATCCAGAGGGGAGAATTCCTTATCTTTTAGCTTTCCTTTGCACACTTTCACAATATCATACATGTGGAGGTAACTGGCTGCTGCCAGGACATCCTCCACCGGGAGAGTGCTGAATTCCAACTTCCCCTCATACATAAATTCAAGGAGCAGACTGAAAGCCGGGGCTGTCACAATGTCACTGTTGAGATGCACAACGTCCCTTTTGTCCAGCTGGTCCCTGTAGAAGAGATGGAAGTACATGCTGCAGGAGGCCAGCACGGCTCTGTGCGCTTTGAATCGAGCTTCCCCGACAAGAACAGTGCAGTCACAGAGGAAACCTTGGTGACGCTGCTGACTCAGACACTGCAGCAACTGGCGGCTATGGTCTGGGAACTCCATTCTTCCTTCATAACCTGACGAAAAAAAAACAGGAAAAACAGGATACTCGATAAACGAAATGAAGCCATTAATAGGGCAGAGCAAGGCTGCGGTCACAAATCAGAGAAAAGCGCCAAGCAACCGCGAGAGTGGAGTGGATTTGAGTTTAAACTTTTGCCGAATTACACGAGTTTATTTAAAAGAATGAGCAAGAGCAATCATACAATCTCTTAAATCTGTTAGGTCCCCAAATACAAGTGCATAAAATAAATACTTATTTCTAAACTTTCGTCCTCATTTTTTTTTTTTTTTTACATAGCCGAGAGGTCTGCATCAATAACTTTATCCAACTTGAGAACACAAATCCTCCATTCTTTCCAGTGGTGCAGGATACGCTGCGCTGCGCTCACCCACCCATGTATGTATCGCAGAGTAAACGGATACACTCCAAATGATCCAAAGTATTCCTGTGTGGAGCGAGGCAGTCTCTATAATTCTCCTTAGAGCTCCCAAATTTTGCGAAAAGTGAAGCAGCGGCGCGTTCCCACACGCACAAAAAAAAAAGAAAAAAGGAGCACCGTTCAGAAAAAAACACGCAAGAAGTGGGATTGGGAGTGATTCCAGCCGTCCATGGAGGGAAGGAGGCTAACGTGAAGAAGAAGAAAAAAAAATAAGCCCTGTGCAGAGTGAGTAAACTGGTGCTCTGTTTGCTAATTACACTGCAAGCTGTGGAGTCAGCTGCTCTGACATCACCGCAATGGAAACGCTACCTCCAGCTGTGCTCCCCTCTATGCCATATGTTAACTCCGGGCTAAAACCAGACACACAACTTGTAAAAATAAATAAATAGAAAAGATTGATTTATAAATGTCTCAAGATGGCACGAAATTTCAAAACTTTTTTTTTTTTTTAATAGCGTCATATATCAGCGAAGGAAAACTGCAGGCGACACCCGGGGATAAAAAAATTAAACGCTTTGTGGCCCCTTTACGCACTCGTGAGGCACGCGTACAACTGTGAGATATATCCGTTTCTAAGGGCTGATTCGCGCAGAAAAAGCAGGTTGGAAGGAGGAGGAAAAAAAAAAAAACGAACGTGAAATTGATATTAAAGTTAGATAGCTGCCGAGAACAGCGTGCTGGAGTATCATTTTGCGCGCATTAGTTGCGTTGCAAAAAAGGATAGAAAAGTGTGACACGGAAAGGCGCAGTAAAACCGAGCTCCATGTCCGTGTTGGGAAACGCATTGCTGGGAGCCTTTTAAACAGCAGAGGAACTCACAGCAAAGCCAACTGCGCTGAACGAAGCGGCGAGAGAGGGGGGGGGGGGCACTCTTTAACTTTAGCTTCCTCCGTTTGAAAAACCAACAGAAAAACACTCCACTTACATTTATTCCCCTTCGGTATCGTCGTCTTTCTCGCTACAAGTCCCGCTGTCCTTTCATGATGTTCGGCCAGATGTTCGCTTCTCCTTGTCGTTTCTTGAGCTTCAGTCCGACCCTGGCAAGGCAGGCTGCACTCGGCGCTGCTGTGTGTCAAGCAGGTTGATAATGGCACAAGTCTCGCGATACCGCAGCGCCACAATAACTTCTGTACTACTGCGTGAATTCACACAGCGGCAGCAAGTAGCAAAGTACACTGGGAGCAGCAATTGGCTCTTTACTGAAACAACTGTCCCAGGAAAGCGGAAGGGACTCACGCTGTAGTGAATCTCGAAGTTTACAGGAAGGGGATGGGTAGATTACTGACAATACTAACTTTAAGACACAAAACTATTTTTCAAGTTTAAACTTCAAGTAGACAGTCTGATCATAAGAGCACAACGTTTAAATGTCTTATTGAACACAGGTTTTCCTTTTTTAGGAAATGCTCCCTGTTTGCCCTTTTCTCAATTCTTGCCATTCAGACTTGTTTAAAGGTAATGTTATTTAAAAAGCTCAAATCCTGAAGATACATTTAATTTGCAGGCTTCCCACAATGTTGTCTGTAGATGAAAGAAAAGCTGAACTGTTATCTGTTGATCAAAGTTCTTAATGTATAGTTTACCCAGACTGATACAGAGAATTATAAATCGTGCTTTGTCATTTGAAGGGTTATTAGACAACTGGGCTGCTCTCTCTAATCCTGATTTGGGTTGTGGAACTCGCTGGCACCACACGCCACCCAGTGCCTTTGTTTTCCCAGACCACACCAAGTCCTGGCTCTGATTTGTCCAGCCTAAATTGACTTAAGACAGGAATTTTGATTTACATTTGGGAGGGGGGAGAGAAAAGTCACAGATTTGTTCAGGCTCTTAAAAATAACACAGTCTCCGGAGCCTGCTCTGTAATTGTTAAAGCTATAGAAGGTGGCAGCGGAGAAACAAGGGGCTTGAGGTTGCAGCTGCTCATCTTGTGCCCCCCTCCTCCTCCTCGTGTCCCTCCCTGTGCTCCCCCAACTGCTTCAGTCACCTTTGCCCTGTGTTCCAGCTGCCGTGTGTTTTGAAAAGGCCATTTGCAGCTCCTCACAGCCTCCTGACACAGAGGGGAATGAGCAATGTGACGAGAGGCGGCAGCCACTGGTCGGAAAGGGGCCACCGGCGAGATTCTTATCCACTTACTGCTTTATTCCATTTTTAGTCCTTCTGTTACTGTTACAAAGGGAGGATTTCTGCACTGTGGTCATGTCTAGATTAAGATGAGGAAGACAGTCATGCTCCCTAAATAAAAACTGTATTTGCTCCAATAAATTGGCATTCAGAAAGATGATAAATGGTGAAAACACCTGGGAGCTTTAGTAAAGTATAAGATGTGCGAGCCACATTAACAACAAGTTTCCATTCAAACTCACACACACTTACACGATGCATGCATGCAGGAGCAACGACGTGGATAAGAATAGGAGCAGTGGCCCTGTGTTTCTCTGGCCCTGGCAAATGTAGGCGCCCAGTAGAGGAGGGGTGTGTGTTCACAGGGCAAGACAAAGCAGTGGTTGTGCCTGAGGACAGTGGCCTCAGAGAGAGGGGCTCGGCACGGTGGAGGTTCTCACACACCGAGAAAGATAGAAAGAGAGAGAGGGAGAGAGAATGGGAGTGGGAGAGTGGGGGAGCTGGGAAAGACAGAGAGAGAGAGAGAGCGAGAGAGAGAGAGAGAACACTTCCTGGAGGTTCTTTCTTCCTCTCTGCAATCATCAATGGCATTCTCCCCCTGACCCACTCTTCTCTCAGACAAACAAAAGAGCCCGCATTCCAGTGTAGCCTGACCGGCCAACCAGCCAGCCTTCCAGCCACTGAGTGAACCACATCACTCCCCCAACTGGACCAAAGTCCCAGGAGTGTGTGCGTGTGTGTGTGTGTGTGTGGGGGGGATGCATCTCACATTAAGGAATCACAATACCCAGCCTTGACCATGTACCAGAAAGCAAATTTTAATTTTATTTTTGAAATTATGTGTACAGCTATCAGCTCATTCCAGCGTATTTCTTTAAAAATGTTTAAGGTTCAAGTAAACTTCTGTCATAATGATCATTTAATGAACTTTTATGTTTTATGCAATTCAGTCTTACATATTTGATAACTGGGAAAGGTCGCAATCTTCTGAAGACTTTCATTAACATTTTATACATTTGAGTAATGACAGGTTGAACAGCATGAGATTAGAACAACAGATAGAAGGGTTAAATCTTTCAACATTTTACAGTTAACAGATGTATTAAAAATATGTATGACTTTATAATTGTCCATGTTTTTTGTTGCAATCTTTAAAATAAATATATTGTAGTATAATACACTACTCTATATGGCCTATGGTTGTACACCATATTAATGCTACAGACTGAACAGTATCACTTAATGTTTGTCTGCCATTGATTTATTTGAGAATGTTTTATTGCTGTCTTTTATTCTCATAATGCCACCTATTTATTTATTTTATTTTATTACATCAGCGTCTATGCAATTTCTAAAAGTATTTATTATTTTATTAATCCAAGTTTTGTTTCAATTTCATGTTTAAATTTTAACTTGAAGGACGGCAAGCTGGGTTACCATGTATACACTGTGACAAACTCCCTGTGCAACCTACACAGAGTCTTTGAATCTGATGGTGCAAAGCTGCATAACAGGTAGATAATACATCCTAGGAAACAATGTGGCAGTTGGAGCTACATTGCACTGCAGTTGCCGGGAGATGCTGTAGTGGTCGGACCCCCCACCACTTCCACCCTATTATGGCCCTCCTGCCCTTCTGTGTCTAATTGTTGCTGCCGCATGTTATCTATTCTCCTTCAACAGCCCATTAAGCTCTGCTCTGTTCTGTTTGTTACATTATGAACTGATACTGCAGGCAGACAAGAGAGGAGATGAGATGAGTCTTTGACAGGAAAAACATTATTAACTCACTTTGACTCTTTGACCTGGTTGCTTTAGCTTTGAACCTGCAAAACAGCAGCCGAAGAGGAGGAGGAGGGAGAAAGAGGAGGAAGAGGAGGGAGGAGGGCATCACTGAATAACAACAGCAGAAAAAAATGGGATAACCTCACTCAGCTCTGTTTGTATGACAGGAACAGCTTGGCAGAGCTGACACATAGTAGCAGAGAGGAGCACATTACAGTGTGAGTGACAAAGAGGGGAAATGACACCAGAGACAGAGGGCAGAGGCCACAAAGTTTTTCATCACAGAGGGAACACTGGCAGCTGGCCCTGCTGTCCTGCTCTCGTAACACTATTTTTGTAGTATTGTGCAACCATACAAAATCAAAGTCTTGCTTTGGTCTGTCGTCAACATTCGGATCCATGCACTTTCTCACTTATGCAAATATATTTAATAAGTCTTCTACATAGCTAAAGATTATAAGTACATAATGACTGTATAACCAAGTCATCTGCAGGCTTCATTTGACACAGAGGATCCCTGACTTCCTTACGAAGCAGGCCTGTCTGTACCTGTCCGAAACTGGTTTAACTCCTACCTTTCCAGCAAAGTGTTCTTTGGATCTGTAGATGTTTTTTATCTAAAATGATCCAGAATTACTAGCAGGGTTATAATTTGATATATTTTCACATTGGAAGTTTGATTTTTTTATTTATTTATCTTTTGCATATTCATTAGCACGTGTCATATTCTCTTATATCTGTTGCTGGTGTTATGAATCTTTAAATTGCTGCAGCTTCTCTTGACATTTTAATATATTAAGAACGTGAGTTCGTGGAGCAGTTCCTAATACTGACAAAAAAGGAAAACACAAGTTTCACAATGATTTATGGAGCTTACAATAGTCAAATAGTCATCATTGGGGGTTGAAGATTGCTCATTTATCTGTAAGCTCAGTACTTGTTTTGATTTCACTCTCTCCTGATGATGCCTGTGTAATGTGGTTTTAACAGGGACTTGCCTACTTCTCAGCTATGGTGTTTTAAAGTCCAAAAACATACATTATTGTTGTTGTAAAGAGTAATTTCAAGGTTCAATTTGACTCTGAACTACACGTAATTCCTTCCTTTGATTGTATTGTGTTAGTTGACATATTCCCCTACAGGTTGAAAATGTATTTTTAATCACATCTGTGTAGTATTGTTCTTCATCCAAAAATAAACCCTAAATAATTGACCAAAAGTAATGACTAATTTCGTTACCTGATGATAATCCAAGTTTGCACTCACCTCTTCAAGATTCAAGATTCAAGATTTTTATTTGTCACATGCTCATACAGATGTGCAGTGAAATGATGTGCAATAACACTCAAATTGCTCATACACATATATACAGTAAAATAGAATATCATGTAAAATTTAAAAAAGAAATATTTGAAGATACAAAATATAGAATATAGCATCCAATGGATCTTCCATGCATTTACCTAAATGCATTAACCTTTTAGGCATTTCTTTATTGCACTGATAAATACTTCTCTTGGATATATTTAAATAAAAGTGAATACTGTTCTTTTTAAAAAAGAAAAAACAATTCTTAGCCTTTTTTGCACTTGGTGTATTTCAATAATCAAATTAAGTTTTACATGACTCAAGAAATCTTGATGACATTCTGATAACTTTGAGGGTACTGAAAAAAAAGTTTAGCAATTTTTTGTCAGTTTATTGATCAGTCAATCGATTTAATATATATTGTGACCACAATTTTAAGAAAAAATGTCATGCCCCTCTACGGATAATATTTTCAGTTTCACTTTTTCTGTGGCAGGAAACTAGATATTCTACTTTTTTTGTGGGTAAAACAAAACTATTACCGGATATAATCTTGATGAGCATTTTCCCATTAGTCCCCATGACATACCGACCACATGATCGAGAATAATCATTAATTGATGGTGATTATTATTAAATGCAGCAGTGTAACGTGTCATCTCATGGCAATTCTCCCAATTCTAAAATAAAATCACTCGTACAAAAAAAAAAAAAAAAAAGCTGCAGCAATAAGTCAGACTTCATTATCTGGTATTACAGTAACAGAGGGTAAAAAACAGAAATCAAGTATTGTCGTGGAAACCTTTCAGGACACTCAGGACCCCATTTTGGAAACCGCCGGCTCCGATAAGACAGCGCAGGGTTCAACAAGGCCACGCAGCCCCTCATAAGCCCCTATAAAAACACTGCAGGATTTTTTTTTTTTTCAATGGGACGGCTGACTGCCTACTACTCTTCTATGAGTGTGACTGATGAATCTGGAAGGCTTTAGGACCCGGGAGAGCGCGCTGCCACAGAGGCATTGCAGACTGCGCGTTAGGGAGGTGTAGTGGAAGAAAGGCAAAGAAACGGAGTAAATGAGAGCACTTTGTCCAGATTGTTAGAGGACTTATCAACTTAAAATACCGACGAAACTGCTCACTATAATGAGACGGACACACTGTTGAATTCCTGTCCAGGTAAATGTCCGCGTTTCCTTCGCATGGTTAACAGCTAGACAGGGTAGGTCCCCATTGTACTTACATGGGATGCGGTTATTCTCACCCAGGCTGCCCTGCTAGGCCCCATATCCTTTCTATCGCTAAATGCAAACCCGAAATGAGGTACTTTCCTGGCTTCACGTCGCTGTAGAAGTTACTCAGCAGCAAACAGGAGCTTATTATCGTCCAGTAGTAAATCATGACGCGCTGTTGTTTTTTCCACGAACAGCGGTGAGCCTCGTTTCAGATGTTAGCCATTCATTTCTGACAATGACCACTTTTGAGAGACAGCCCTCAGGGCCAAAATATCTGCAGTCATGTTACTTTATCCCCCCCTCTGCGAGAAAGTTGTATTTGCTCATACTTCACGGCCCAGCAGGCAAATGAAAACAAGTGAGCTCAACATGAGAGCAAGCTCATTCATTGTTATGAACTACCACTGCGTTTGTTTACTCGTTTGAGGGGGGAGGAAAAAAAAAATGTTATGGCCAAGACAATATTGTAGCGCTCAGCTGCGTTAGCTTTGGCTAGCTTGTTGCTGCTCTGTTGTAGCACTACTGCATCTTCAGTCAGCAACACAAACTAGGAGGCTTCATCTTTGTTTTGACTTGTTGACACCCTACAGTGGCTCCCGTAACGGGGGCTTTACTACCTTTAATGTCAAGGAAGGACTTCATAAAATAGATTGAGAGTCTTGTTTTTATCCATTATTAATCAGTACAGCAGCAAAATACAGGAGTAGCTTTGTAGTGATGTGTTTAGGAGTCTCTGTCATCATCACAACCACAAAGATGTCACATTTGTGTGTGTTTGCTACAGAAATTGTAGAAAGTTTTTTTTTTATTGTATTAGACTTATTGATGTTATTGCATCTAAATGTTAAATGAAGCATGCATGTCAATTTGAGATTAACTTCATTGGTGTTACTTTCTGTTTTGTGTCCATTTCCCCGCAGCGAGAGCATTGGCCCTGGGCATGTTGTACACAGCAACGCCTTTTAGTGTCAAAAATGTTCTCAACGGTCATGAGACTACATCTGTCCTGTGTGTATGTGTGTGTGTGTGTGTGTGTGTGTGTGTGTGTGCAGCAAGACTTGGCATGTGACCCGCAAAGACGCAACAAGCATGGCGTAATGATGCAGACTGTGATTTGCTTGGCTCTCCCTGTTCTATTTTGAAAATACCAGCCACCTCCCACCCAGTCCCATCACAGCCCCTTTGACGCAAATGTGCCACCGGTTACATGCTGAATCTGAGGAATGTTGTTTGAAAGTGATGGCCCTGTACGCTGGCAGACTTATCGTGTCTGCCCCCCGCCCGCCCCTGCCTGCGCCACAGGAGTTTGGTTGGGATACGCTTCTTGTGATGGTGACCCGCCATCAGAATCACATGACCGCGCTGTTCTTGGCTGATACAAAACACTTTTTGTGCCATTAGTCATGTTTAGCAGTTGCTAACGTAAACAGCCATGTCATTTGATTTGCAGCACACCCAGGATACCAGAGATTTAAGATCTTATTGTTACCTCTTAAAAAAAAAACAGAGTATCGTGTGATTGATCTATATCTGAATAGATAGGGCAGCTTTGTGTCACATCTTTAATTTAGTTCATCGCTTGCCTGAGCAGCCTTTGCGTGAGTCACAAAGGGGTTGTTGTTCATCTCATCACAGGATTAAAAACAGTACGTCTACTTGTCTTTCAGGGTTACAGTAGCTTACATGTGGTCAGCTACGCTCACCCACAATATTGTTGTCATTGGTGGTGTGTTTTCAGGGAACTTGAAAGAGGAACTTGGCACTGTGTAGTAGATCCCCCTGTTACTGGTTCCATTGTGGCATTTGAAAACAAACAGTATTGCTTCAGGGACTGTTTTGCAGCGACAGGTGAGTGTGTATCTGACGTGATAATTTCATAGTTTTAAATACTTGTGCATTTGTTTTTTTCTTTATAATTGTAAACCAGCTACTGACTGTTGTTTACGCAAGCAGCAGTAGAGCAAAACAGGCTTGTATCTATTGATCTGATGAAGGAAGAAGTTTGGTGATGTTGGCCTGATTTTCTGCTTCCTGCCATAAAAACATGGGACCGTTCTCTGTGGCTCAGTTACAGGCGCAGTGTGTGGCATCCTTGCTGCATGACACTCATTTGCATTGAATGGGGTGGCCCCTGGAGCTTGAGCCAAAAAGATGAATGATTGAAAGCTGCACTGACAGCAGGGCAGGCAGGCAGGCAGTGGCAGCCCAGAGGCCTGAGCAGCATGTGACCCGCTGTCAGGGTACTGGGTTCATTCAGTGGCTGCTGGCTGCAGCGCTGGCAGCAGCCCAGCTTTTCCACACAGGCCGCAGTAGCAACAGGTCGCTCCCATTAAAACAGCAGCACTCTGTTGTGGCTCCAGAGCCGGTCTTGTGCATGTGTTGCTTTTTTGGCTGTGGTGTGTGTGCCCTCAAGTTTGTTTGTGTGATGTATCCCGATGTGTACATAATGTGTGCGTAGCAAGATGCCGAAAGGATCCAACGGTTTGTGTGATCCTCAGTTTGAATAGCACTCAGTGTGCTTTTTCAAATCCCACTCACAGATCCTTCCAACATGGACTGTGTGACACAAGTACCACAACCTTAGAGCAATAAACAAAAACAGTGAGCAAAAATAAACTGAGCTTTCATATACTCACATTGCTCATTGATGGAAGGATGGAGCAGAATGACAGTGAAAAGGCGATTTGCTCGTAAATACACTGTCTGATGTATCGGAGCCTGGGGCTGTGCTGATATGACTCGCAGTCTGTCAATAGTCACATCCACTTCCTGTTGTTGTCCCCAGCCACACGCTGGATGAGGCCACTCCAACAGAGCTCCCTTTTGATGGCTGCGCTCTGACTGAGCAGCAGCAGGGAAATTGATTTCAGTCGATGGTCAGATATTGCCTGGTGCAGTATGTGACATTTGTGTGAACAAGCCTGGCAATTGATCATTCTTTTGCTGATTCAAAGCTGTCTTTATATCATAAAGAAGCACTGAATGGATGAAAGGTCAAGCATGCTTGGTTGTGATAGCCTGCAGGTTTAAAGTACAAGCCTTTGATGTAAAATCATTCAATCTGTGATGGAGTTGAGCCTCATTTAGCCTATCTGACTTTCAGGGAACTTTTATTCTGCCTTTTATCAACCACTTTCAGTTCAACAGGTATTGTTTTAACTGTCACTTGGTCTTGAACATTCATTTGCTTTTATTCTGCACTTTACTCATACGTCTCTCTGAAGCCAGTATCACACATTTACCATGTAACTGTGAAAGCAGTCTTCTTCATGTGTGAAAAGGTGCTAGAGTTGTTGTTTTGTAAACATTTGGTAGGGTAGCTTATAGGAACTAGTAACATTTCCGTGAAGCTCCCGCCTCAGGTCAGGTGTAAATAAACTGCAACAGTCACACATACAGTGCTAAAAGGTTATATATGGTCGTAAAAAATGAGTCTATTCCTCAGAAGGAGCTTTGACTTTACAACTTCTCTTTTGTTTTGTCATACAAAGTATTCAAACCTATCATACCTAGACCCGGAGCTTTATCATCTATTGGTAGATGGAGTATTTTAGATGTGTCAAACCTTCCTAGTTAAACTATGTCACACGCATTAAGGAACTTTCGTGTATATTCTTTGCTGGCCTGCTTAAGCACAAATTTAATGTGAGACTGAAATCTAAAAGGGAAACAATATTTCTGATGCAAAAGTAGAATGAATTTAATCTTGACGATTACTTTTAAGTGGCATGAAAACCCTTCAGAAATTATAATCTTATATTATATGAACTTTTCCTTTTACTCAATGGAGACGTTCACAATGAATTGAATTATAATTCTATTCGCAGTCATGATTGGTGATGTATATCGGCTTCTCCTGCCCAGCCTCACCTTTCTCTAAACCTGTGTGTGTCTGCGCTGTTGTCAAAATTCATCAGCAGAGCATTTTAGAAAGTCTTTGAAATAATAATGTTTAAAAACGTTTCTCTTATAATTCCATTAGGCTAACAGTTGATCCAAGCGTTTCACTTTTCTCTGTTCCTTTTTCCGTTGGTAAGTTTCCGTCATAACTTTCAATTATGAGGAAGTTAATACAAAAAAAAAGTTTTTAATCTGAACAGGAAATATAATATCATTAACTGAATGCTAAAATGCTAAAACACAAAACAAAAAGCTCAGAGAACAGCAAAGAACAGTTTGCTGAGAAATCAATTAGCTTAATTTTTATCATTAACTGGGGTACTTGCAAAAGCTGTAATATTAAGATAAAATATGATGTAACAAAAAAAATACATTGTTAGTAGAGATTTAATACTGAACACGAGTCGTTTTCTTTGATTATTCTAACATTGTTTGCTTTGCTGTATTAGACAGCCCTAGCTAAGAATGATCATAATTGTAGTACTACTATACTATACTATACTATTTAATAAGTCATTTAACACCTTCCGTGTTAATGCACAACAAAGCGGACAGTAATGGAACACCTAGGAGTAAAATATATTTAGAAAAACATTTCCAGTAGGTCTTTCCTGCAGTCCACAATTCAGCAAAAACACAACAACAAATTAAAAGTAAAATCCCAAAGTCTGCTAAACCCACAATATTCATCAAACAGTTTAACAAAACCCCAGAATGTTAAGCCTCCTACCGCTGCAATGAAATGTTTCAAGCTGCCCTGTTTGATAATTGTTTCATAATCAGCGTCCACGCTACATTGACGTCTGCCACCCGGGCTCCTTACCTTTGCAAAGACAGTGCAATATGTTAACAGAAAGAAGAAACCTGTGCAATGCCAGGCAAACCTCTTCAACATTACTTAAATACTCATGAGTAAATACTGCCATAATGTGTGCATGAGTAAATATTGTAAGTGTGCAGACGTATGCACTGAATTCAATTTCTGTTAAATTGTTAATTTTTCCCTTGTCTGGTGCAGACGGCCTGCAGTTGCGGATTTTTCCAAGGACAATTCCCCAAGGGTACAATAGTACATCTTAATGGTTCCTTCTTATACGTAACTCTTGTGGTCATGTGTAGAATGAAACCAAAACAAATCTGAAATGTTGGGTTGCGTTTGTACAGCATGGATTTCTCAAATGGAGAAAGACTGCATTGTGAATGACAAAAACCTCAGCTTGACAGATATTTGACCCTCACACTGTTGCAGGTTCCTTATGTGAAAAAAACTTAACCACAAACCAACAGGGCCATAAAACACTGGGATCTTCTCTTTTTCACTGCCTCTTCTCTACTATGTTGACCTGAAGGTTAATATTCAGACAAGTGTAAACAATCTTTCACCTCTATATGGGGCTAATTTTTACTCTTTCACAGAATAGGTAACCATCATTGAGAAGGCGGCTGTAAACCCCAGGAACCCGTCTCCAGGCTCCTGCACAGGGCTGAGTGAAGGACACTTGGGAAACAAAGCTGTGTCTCTCCCTGTGGGAAACCTGGATCCTCCACCCCGCACACCAACATGACCAATGTGGTGATTGTCAAGGAGGGATGGCTGCATAAAAGAGGTAAATGCACAAATACAGTTTGTACTTTATAGTTTTGTTTAAAATCAGTTTCCAAAAGTTATTTTTCTTTTCAACAGTTTCAAACTTAAATGTAACAACACTACAAAGAACAAAATATATGGACACCCTCTTAAATATAACTCGCTCTTATGTGAATATTTCAAAGTCCCTAACTGATACTTGCAAGAGAAATGTACGTCAAATACAAAAGCACATTTGTATTATGCACATTCTAGTTTTTACAAAATTTAAGATTTGAAGCATAACTTTAGTACATTATCAAAGTCAATTTTACAATTTTTTTTTGTTGCTCTGATTTGCAAGAGTTAAGAGTTGTACAGTTATTCACAGAATTGTTTTCTGAATGCTGCAGAAATGCCTCAACAAACTTCCAGATGAATCCACCTGTAACTGTATTTGAAAATCCTGTGAGCCATATCCAATGTACAGAGTCATCCAGCTGCAGAGTCCCCAGTGGGCCCCATTTAGCTGCTCTGACAGCGCTGTGTGGTGTGGCGTGGCTCTGTGTCGGGCGTGAGTCCTGTTGTTTGGACGAAGAGGCATTCCTCACATACCTGCTGGCTTTGAGCAGCTTTATGTGTGCATACTAACTCTGCCTTGCGCAGCCCACTCCACCACCACCACCACCACCTCCTCCCTAACCCCCAGGGCAAAATAGGATAAGACGCTTCTCTAAAAACCAAGGAAGGCTCCTGGGCCCAGTTCCAAGGCACCAGTCTTTTACTGGAAGGGGAGACACTGGGAGTCTGAACCAGGGGATAACATGACAGGAGCAGGTCACTAGGAGAGTTACTGGTTTTTAGACAGAAACAGAGTGTGATTATGGCGTGTTAGCCCATGTTACCCCCTCCCCAAGGCCTCTGCTTGGAGCACAACAGGCTGCTGTTTTCAGAGAGGGTCAGCCTGGTTCGGCTCAGTTGGTCTCAGGCAGACACACCCTGGTCCTTCCAGGAAGGAAAAGGACATAATACTGGGTGCTATTAGTGTTTCATGCTGTTTAGTGTAGACCAATCCTGCAAAGTAGCGATGTGATCACCATAATGAAGATTTGTGTTATCTACAACTTGGATTTATATAGCTTCATAAAAATCCATTAAGCTATATTAATGTAATGAATTAAATCTATGCCAATTGCCATATCTTAGGCTTTAGAGGCCAGATGTGATGTTGTATTTATCTTTAGGAAAAATCTTTGAAAGGGAATTTGTGAATCAGCATTTCTCCTGTCTAATGTTTTATTAATTTGGAATTTGTACTATTTGTGTATCATTTGTGCTGGAGATACTGACAAAAGTCAATTCTGCAACACTTCAGGCTGTGCTGATAAGAATAACACATCGTGATGGAGAGCTCATGTAAAATATAGCTAACGGACAAGTCAAATATTGACTGGTCGATAAACACTTGGGTTGTGTGGAAGTAGCCCTACACACACACACTCATACACAGAGTTCTAGCACTGACACATCTTGTGACACACAGATACACACAATAAAGAAACAACTCTTCAGAAATAGTGAGTTGGCATGCTGTCGCAGCCCAGCAGCTGTGCCCTGTGAAATGTCACCCAGAGCCTCTGTGTTCTTTGATTGGAGCGCGTCCACCTGCCTCCCTGACAGGAAGGCTTCTCGTGTCGCGTCACTGTCATGTAGGCTTTGCCCCAGAGCCACTGCACAGAAGGTGAACCTGCAGTGGCCCTGTCTGCTGTCCATCACCTGCGCCAGGTAGCCCCCACTCAAACGCCATCGTCCCATGTTGCACCTTGAGGGGAGCTTGTTTGTGTGGCCGGCGCCACCCAAGTGACTCACATCTTCATGTAGGCGTAATAATAAATGGCTTAAACCGCTTCCAAGTGTGTTCAGCATGCTCATTACTCCCATGTGTGCAGTCAAAACAACAATTAAATGTTTTACAAAAGATGGCCCTACATATTTCCATCAACATATTGTGTATGTTCGACAGTGTCTGGCAGCAAACTATGTTTTTGTAGTACTGTGTTCTGTCCTCCAGTAATTCCCATTTAATAGTAGAACTGTATCAGCACCCTTTGTCTTGGTCCGATACCTAGATTGAATTTTTGGCCAATAGCTATATTTGATACCAGGGAATTTAAAAAAGATAATATTCCTTCTCTGCTGATGTGATATAATTGCTATCACTGTGTATGGCCTGATTTACTACAATAAACAAATTCTGAATCTAAAACAAACAAACTGAGCTCACTGGGTGTGAGTGGGATATTTTGATTTCTGGCATTTATGACTTCAACTACCTTTAGTCTCTCCACTAGCACTGTTTGGTTGATGTTTTACCAGAATTCAGTTCTCTGTTTATGTTCTTTGTTGTGTAGTTTACTGTTTTTGAGAAGAAGAAACAATGGGAATTTTGGATGGGCTTATTTGTTACGGTATAATAGTATCTGATTGGAGTATACTTGCATATACTACTTGATAATGCATTCACTCACTATTTGGCATTTCTAATTATGCTATAAGAACAACTCTATTTCACTATTATGAAAGATGACTTCATTTGATAGCCAGTAACAGACATAGAGCATTACAGGACTTAGACGTCAGCTGAACTCATCCATGCCACTCACTCTCGCTCTCTGATTCCTGACTGATTAGTCATGTTCAGCTTGCACGTGTACACTGTGGGAAGGCTCTTGAGAGAGAGTAGAGCAAGCATAGTGCTTAAGAATCCTGTAAAACTCCCCAGTAGATCTAATCTGTCATTAGGGGCTGCAGATTCTCAGCCTTGAAGTGCGGTGTGCGTTTGTTTCAGACAGGCTGCGATCAGTGAAATGATCTCATTCTGAAGGACACACCTTCATACTTTCTCCTTCAGCCTTGGGCTACAGTTATGTGCCTCAACTGTGGACACTGCCTGGGATGTGTTGTGTGACTGTTATCTGGGTTATCTGTTGCTGAAGGACAGTGTTGGAATGCAACACAAGGCAGCTGCGTGTGTGTATGTCTGGACATGCATATGCAAATATGTGTTAGTGTATGGACAGTGAAGCATATTTATTCAGAATTTACCCTGCCAGCCGGACATCACCCAATGCCCTTACACACAGATCACAATACAAGTACGGGCTTGAAAAAACTGTTACTTTGTTGTTACTACTATAACCAGTTGTTAAGCACCCTCAAATGATGCTTTCCTTTCAGATCTTCACATGGTGCTCCCACACACTTCGAATGTGCCTACGGCCTCTAGTGGCCACGGACACTTAGCAGCATGTTATTTCTTTTTGTGAGTGTGTTTTCCCAAAGTTCCCATCAAAGCCGGAGCATCATCAGACATCAGAGAGGTAGATTGTGGGTTCCCTAGTTTCCAGGGAATTGCTTCGGCCAAAAACCCAGTGAGGCTCAACAGAACAGCGCTCGCTTGTCCTCCCCTCTTCCCTGGCCCTTGTTTGTTTGACTCATTTTCTCCCTGACAAGTATAAAGAGCCGGCCCCTTCGTTAGGCTAACGAAGGCCGCAACAACTGTTGGATTTGGGTAGCACGCTCAGCTGGCTCCGACTCATGAGAGGAGGGATGAAGGGGAGAGGGAGGGAGGGAGAGCAAAGGGCACACCAGTACAGATAGGCACAGTCATAAAGAGAGGGAGAGAGGGACAGAAGTTGAGCAGCGTCTTTGTGATGTTCCCAGAACATTGCTCAGTGACCCAGTCGGCCTCAGGATAGCGGATGGATGTTGTGTGCAACATGCCACGGAGAGAGCCTCTCGTGGTTTGGTTTGGAGCTCATCAGCTGATTGGCTCCTTTTCTAGTCATGCGGCTGAAGGACATGAGCTGAGCTGCTCCTCCAAGCGCGACCTGGTTGGTGGTCCAGGAAAGTGCATGAGCCACACAAGAGGAGGGGTGAAAGGGGGGAAAGCATGCATGTTTTTGTGAAACTCTAGACACGGTTGTATGTGTAGATGAAACTTTTTGCTTCATCTTTTGAATGTTTGTGTCTTGTTCATCTGGTGTCCAGGGCTCCAACGAGTTCGCCTGCATTTTCCAACTTAGTATTGTTGTTTTGCTGTTTTCCCACACAGTTAAATTCTCTTCAAAGGAGCAGACCCACCTGATTAAAAATGTCTCATGATGCTGCAATGCTGACTTGGAGACTTTGACTTAATGCCAGCTCTGCTGCTGGGCTCGCCCAGGCTCCTCCACGTCCACTCATTATGGCTGTCATGGGCCACACACCGCTGCAGCACAAACACGCATATCATGTACTGAAGAACTGGAGCTCTAACTATATTAATTTTCTTTTGCAGTATGTTTTCCCACATTGTGAGGATTTAATATATTGAAAAATATTGAGCGCATAAAAATGGACTAAATCCTGCTAAATGTGTCCCAAAGTGATAATGCTTGAAAACTTGAAACTTTATAGATTAAATGTCACAGTATTTGTTACTTGGTTAGAAAAATATGGAGGGTGCAATTTGTTTGAGTAATCTGAATACATAGTTACACAGTTTTACTTAATTTAAAATTCTATACAAACCTATTTGACAAAGCATCTATTGCACAAAACAAAGTTATGACTAATTAAAGCTTTTGTGTATCTCCTTTTTTTTCTATACTAATTCCACATTCAAGAAAACATCCTTTCTGCTGGTCATTTTCTATTTTTTGGGGGATTTTTATTTTTGGTCTTCTAATTTTGTGGGACAGTGGATAGAGTGGGGAATAACATGCAGGAAAGGAGCTGCAGGTTGGACCAGAACTTGGGCCGTCCGCCTGGAGGACCATAGCCTCCCCACATGGAGCGCGCCCTTACTACTAAGCCATCAGCGCCCATGATCTGCTGTCCTCCTAACATCACTCAATTAATGTGCAGCATCAGATGTGATATAAAAAAAATTCCAAAGAGTCCAGACTGAAAAATGTTAAGGGTTTAATACAAATGTTCAGTAAGTTTAGAGAAAATCCTGGGTTTAACTACAATATTTATTTCAAGTGCTTAATCACA